CCCTGTAGATAGGATGTGTCACTCCTCTGGCAAGTGGATGTGGTTCTGCAACTGGGAAGCTCCACTGAGCGTTAACCATGAGCAATCAATAATTGGCTGCATCGTTGAACTCAGCCAACATCCTAGCTCCTCCTTTGGAATCTGGTCAAAAGTTCCTTCCCTCACTCGGCTCTCTTCTCTTTCCTTCTCTTCACCCCTCTTTTTCTCTAGCCCCTGACCCTGTCTAGAGACACACATTATTTCACTCAAGAAATTCCAAGGAGAATAAAAGAACATGGGTCAGATGAATCTTTTTGTGTTCCACAATCATTCTAAGCAGATAACAGCAAAAAATGATGCTCTCTTCTTCCAGTAGGAACAGGAGAATTTAAAAAACTTCAGCGAGGGAAGGAGAAGGAGATCCCTGTCTTGTACTACGTTAGGAGATAAGTTCGTTAAAGTCTCTGTCATGGAAGCAACCAGGAAATGTCAAATGAAAGTCCCAACAGTTTATGACAGACACCAACAACCCTATGATCTGGACTCTGTGCTGAGGAAGCATTCAGAGACACACAGGGACCTACCTGCAATGGTGTTTGTCATGTTATTTATTGCTTCATAAAATTGAAAATATAAAAGCTCAGTGATATGGATGGCTCAGCATGAATAAATAATGACAATAGTAAATACCAAATTACACAATGAAATAACATGCATGTATTAAGAGGATTTCCATAGAATAATGAACAACAGAGAGACATGTTTAAGCCTGCATTTGGTGAAAAGGACCAGATTTTAAAATGGATATATTAACACCAGTGTTAATTGTTGCTAATTCTGAGAAATAAATTGTGAGTAATTATTATTTCTTTATATTTTTCTCTGATTTCTATAATGATTTTATTATCTGTCTAATCAGAAAAATGACATTGTAAAAGAAAACTCTCTGGATCACTTGTGGCCTGGTTGAATACAGCCATAAACTATAATCACATATTATCTTTCCCATTCAATAAAGTACATCTGGCAAGATCTTTACTTGGCACCAGTTCCTTGGACATTAACTTAAGAGAGCAGTTTGTGACTAAGAACAATACAGTCCCCAGCCTTTCAAAAGTTCATGTAAGTTTTCACAAGCTGTCCCTTTCCATAATTTGTGCAGAATTATGGAATTGTTCCTTGTTGTCTTCTCTGGCAGGCTCAGAGGACAATGTGACAGCTGATGCCAGCATGATGTTCCTTATGTACCCACCAAATCCATCCCACTCAGCTCTGACAGGCTGGTAAAGGACAACTGGATGATGAGGCTTCATCTTTCATTGCTGACCCATGGTCCCCAGAGGCTCCCAGAGCTGCATCCAGGAATCACCTTCAAGGAACGTGCACCTGCCTGCTGCCAAACACAAATATCTGCTGGTGGTGACCACTCCTGTTCTGCAATTCAAATCAGACCTGAGTTTGCGAGAGCATTTTTGCTTTTACACCTCATACTTCTGCAAAGACATGAACCACTTTTCCCCTAAGCCGAGAACTGTCCCCAAAGAACTAGCTCTCTATTAAGCGAGGACACTTCCTAACAGTACAGGCATTTCCTAAGTGGTGGCAATGGACATCCCCCAAAACAGTGTGGGGCTCCCCAAAGCAATTGGGTACCAAAAGCTAACAAGGAGAGTGGTTTTCACAGAGAAATCTATAGATTAGGAAGGATGAAAAGGAGGGATGCTTAGCACCAAAGCATAGTTAAGTTGGGTTTGCGTGGCAGAAGTCTGTAATCCTAACACTTGAGGAGCTAAGGCAGCTATGTGGGAAATCTGAAGCTTTCCTGTTTGATACCCCCACACTCACACACACACTCTCACACACACACACACCAGAACTTCACCAAACAAACACCAACAACAATCCACCCATAAATTCAAAACATAGAAGTAAAGCGCAAAAAAAAAAAAAACACAAAACACAGTTAAGTGGAAACACTGTCACAGCTATGAGTCCCAATTACTTATTATATATATCATTAAAACTAGGAGTAGCTGGAAATCCCCAAACATACATTAGTGGCACAGAGATGGAAATACGTACATATGTACAGTACATATACATGTATTGAAATATCATACCACGCTCCACCTATTGTTATGCATTACTCAAAAGATTTTTAATGTTTAGGGTAGTGTAAACACTAACTATCCAAACTGGATTGTTACAAATTATACATAAGTACTGAATCATCACACTTTACCACACAAATATGAATGACTAAAATAATTATTATTTGAAAAAGTCAATACTGAAAAATTAGCTATTTATCAACACAGGTGTCAGCAATTCTAAACAATGCCTGTAATAAAAATATTCTCTCTCTTTCACTAGACTGCTTTCTAAACTGTGATAATTGTTTTTGAAGCTTAGTAATGTGCATGTAAGCTGCTACCAATATAATTTTGTCACTTATTCTTCATGAACACAGAAGTTCATATAAAGCACTCCTTATTATGTCAGCCCTGACACACACCTACTCAGCCTCTTTCACTTTGTAACAATTCCTGATCCTGTGCACTACCAGGCTGCTCTTCATTCTACTCCTGTACTTCTGTACATGTCTGCCTTTACCCAGCATCCTGTGCTGCTATATATGCCTGCCTTTGCCCAGCAGACTCAAAGAATAAAAACAGGAGGTCTGTAGGGAGAAACTAGAGGCCAGAGGACAGGAAATTCAAGGCCACTCTGATGATAAGCTGTATTTAAATTGCAAAGCAGCTAAGTAGTATGCATATTTCAAAATGTGATAGTTTTGTTTGAATGTGCAAATTGCAGTTCACATCTGAAACATATTTTTATCAAATATGAACCACACTTTTAAATTGAAGATGGATGCTTTTAAGTATTTTTAAAGGATGTATGAAAAAACAATAATTATTATTGATTAGTTTGTGATTATTGCTGGAGACCTGCATGGAGAAAGAATTATAAAAATGATCTGTTGGGCTACAGGAGCATATATATATATATATATATGGTCTATCACTGTCCCAAGTCACAGATTCATGCCATCTTGTTATTTTCTATTAGGAAAAAAAAACCACTATTATTTTCTAAACCTGAATAATCAAGAACAATATGGAGAGGGGAGTAGGTGATTATATATATATGGGAAATAGAAGAGATCTCCTGGGTGAACTGGGGGCAGGTAGGGGTGGGAACATGAAGGATTGGGTTGGGGGATGAATGGAGGGGGAGAATAATGAAAGAGATGCATTTTAGGGTCAGGTAGAGGCCTGATGCACGGGAAACTCCCACAAATCTACAGGGATGACCCCAGCTAAGGTTCCTAGCAATGGGAATGGGTAGCCTAGATTGGCCATCTCCTGTGATCAGATTGGTGGCTGCCCCAGTTGTCATCAGAGAGCCTTCATCCAATAACTGATGGAAACAGATGCAGAGACCCACAGTCAGGCACTAGGCCAAGCTTGGGGAATCCTGTTGAGGAGGGGAAGGAAGGATTGTACAAGCCAGGGGAGATCGAGGTCATCACCAGGGAACCCACAAACAACTAACCTGGGCTCATAGGAACTCACAGACTCTGGACCAACAGCTACGGAGCCTGCATGGGATTGACCTAGGCCCTCTGCATATAAATGACAGTTGTGTAGCTTGGTGTACTTGTGGGACTCCAGGCAGTGGGAGCAGGGCCTGTTCCTAACACTTTGGCTGCCTTTTGAGAACCTATTCCTCATGCTGGGTTGCCTTGCCCAGCCTTGGTACAGGGGAGGAACTTGGTCCTGTCTCAACTTGATATACCATGCTTTGTAGACATCCATGGGAGGCCTGCCCGCTTCTGAGCAGAAACAAAGGAGGGGTGGATTGGGGGGGAGGGATAGAAGAATGGTGGGGGGAGAAGATGGGAAGGGAGGAGGCAGGGGAAACTGTAGTCCAGATATAAAATAGATGGATAGATTTAATAAAAAAATGGATGGATAGATTAATAAAAAAAATCTCAAAGAATAAATTTTAAAAATACATTTTAACCGTGGGAAAGGCTAACTAGATGTTCTGTGTGACACAGTCCTGGGAAGAGTGACGTAGTCAGGGTTGGAAGACTTAAGGAGCGCCTGGGGTTGGAGGAGAGTTTCGGCTATTGAACCTATTTACTAGTTTGGGTTTTTTGTTTGTTGTTTGTTTTTTACCTTAGACAAGTCACATGCCCTCTTCAGACCTCCATTTTCACTTGTAAAACGGGGACTTAACAGTATGTATAATGGTATTTTGTGGCATTAGGGTATCCCACAGCTACCAGTGACAACATGGAGGAGGAGGAGGAACACACACTTCCAAAATGTGTAGCCAATGACCGATTAAATGGGTCTTAAATTTCTTCCCCTTAAAGCACCTTCCATTCTCTTGTCTTGACCCCGGACCACACCTCTAAGCCTCTAAACAGCGGTCACGTGCTTTATGGATAATGGCCATTCTATGAACTATAATGCACAAATCTGAACACCTCCTGCTTCCTAATATAATGTCATAGAAGAGGGGGATTTATTAGAATAACACAAAATCATCACAGACTCCCAGAGAGAGTTCTGAAGATCCTTGTGCATCCCTGAGTGCTCTATCCAAGGTAAGTAACCATAGTGACCTAATGTGGCTGAGGCTAGAACCCTGCCTGGCTCGCAGCAAATGTGGCCCATCCACTTCAGAAGAAGCTGTGTTTGATTTGAGCCTAATTCAGCTATTAACTTTTCCTAATCTTTTCATCAGCAGAGCCTTTTCTTGTCATTTTAATATTATCTCCAACACCTCCCCACCCATCCCCTAATCCTCACCTATCCCACCATCCCCCATCTCTACCCCTCCCCACCCTTCCACCCATCCTCCCATCCCCCATCCCTACCCATCCTCCCCCATCCCCACCCAGCCAGCCTTTCTAGACTTAACTCCTGGCATCTGTCTGAGTCACCTCCTTTTCCAGGGTCCTGGGCACTAAACATCCCCAATGTTCATTCATGCCAACAACCCACTTGTTCTCTCTGAGTGCTCATCTCATAGCTGCATCAATGTCCAACATCTGTTCCCAGAAGTCCTCTGCTCACGGATTTTTGTACACCTATGGACCAAATGACCCCTCACTGCGGTGAGTCCAGCAAAGTTCTGATTCCGGTCTGTTGCTTTGGAGTGTTACTGCCAATGTTCCCTGAAAGTTGGTGAAAAGTGTATTGAGGAACTCAATGACCACACAGGCTTGATTCAAGAAATGCAGAGCCTGCTGCTGGTCACTTCAAGGCTTGGGTAGCTGTAGGGCAGAAAGGGAAAAGTGGCATCCAGGCAGAAGATTTCTCCTTTTGGATTGTGGTTAGCCATTGCTGGGGTAGCTAGGGAAACAGTGGCTGAAAAAAAAAACATGTCAGGTGATAGATAAACTTCCCTCATGGCTGCCTTTACCAGGAAGGAAAAAAAATCTAGAAAACAAGTTACTTTAATCCCAGGAACCAAATGACTTTAGTTCCAGCTGTTGCCATTGCAATGAAATGATTCCTAACAACATTGTGCCTCACCCACAGGTCAGTGCCTCCCTCAGCCCACAGCAGAGAGGCTGCTTCTTGCAATAGATGTGAACTAATACAGAGTCCCACCGCTGGATAATGTGGAGAGAGGTAGAGACCTTGGAGCACTCGTTCCTAAACAGGATGTCTTCATCAGAACCACCCCCTCAAAGCTTAGAGATCTCTGTGGAAAAAGAGGCACAAGGATTGTAAGGGCCAGAGGTGATTAATGTGTCCAAGAAGACAGTGTCTTCTGGACACAACAGGACTGATGAGCAAATGAGCTCACAGAGACTATGGCAGCACACACAAGTCCTCCACGGTTCAAGCCAGACAGAGTCCCAACACTGGGGAGAGGCGGGGAAGAGACGGCAAGTCCCACCCTTAACAAGAAACTATCTGCAGTTCATACCTGCTAGCAAAGGAAAATCTCTTTTCTTCACTGGAGGGTCACCGGGTGGGTATATTAACCACATTCACGCTCAGGAGCAGCTGGCCAACAGAAAGCAAACTCAATGGCATTTCTGTGGACTTTCTGTTTCATTTTGCTTTGTTTTGGTGTGTGTGTGTGTGTGTGTGTGTGTGTGTGTGTGTGTGTGTGTGTGTGTGTGTGTCTTATTGGTCTTTTGCCTATGCTGTTTTTGTGTTTGGGGAGGTGTTGTTTGTTTGTTTCTTGCTTTTTAAATTTTTGTTTCTTGCTTTTGAAAGAGAGAAAGAAAAAACATAAAGTTGAGTGGGTAGGGAGGTGGGGAAAATCTTGGAGGAGTTGGAAGAGGGTAAAAGCATGATCAAAATATATTGTACGGAAAAACTAATTTAAAAAATTGACCTGGACTCTGCAACTCCAAAGCATAAACAGCACTGAATTCTGATCCTGGCTTTAAGATCCAAACAGCTAATGTGGGTTTGAAGGCTTCCTGGGAATGGAAGAACCATGGGAAGGGAGGCTTCTGCTGTGGCTCATCTTTTCC